ACAACCTCTCCGGGCAGCCTGTTCCAGTGCTATTGGTCACTCAATTGCCCGGGGTGATGCTCAGCAGGGTATTCGTGTTTGAGAGTGTGTTAGCCCATAAATGCTATGCATTCTTCCCTAATCCCTCAATAAGGCCGTACTGAGCATGAGGTCCATTTTAGGTAACACCATGCAGCAACGCAGGAAGTCCATATGCTAATTCTGCCACATGTGTTGAAGCCCCAGAGACGTGCTGTGGTACAAACCTTCTGCCGTTCCTCCAGGTGCAGTAGCTCCCACTGAGTGTTGTTCATGCCAGTGGCACAAAGGAAAGTGGCAGATTTTGGACCAGAGCAAGAACCAGCGGTTGCCCTGTCCGAAGCTGTGACTCCCCCAAGCCATTAGGGTCTAACCCTGACCCTGTCCCACACTCACCACTGCTGCTGGGGTCTTCTGCTGGCACGCACTGATCCTCGGGCTGCAGAAAGTCTCTCTTCAAAACCTCGATGACTTGTATCTTCCTCAGGCTCACGAGATCTACATCAATTAACTTCTTTTCCAGCTGCGTTACCATCTCTCTGCTGGACTGGCTCGTCAAAATTGTGATCTGAAACGCAAACCAGAGCAGGCAAGAGCAGCCTCTACCCCAGTCCTCTCCTGATAGGCAGTGATGCCTGGTCCCTTTGAATGGCATGGATCCCACTGTGGAGAGGGGAGAAATCTCACTAAAATCTCGTATCTGTTCTAAAGCAGATTTCAAAGCATTTTTTTGAGGTTTGACTTTCATTTAAGCCCGTATGAAGCGGCCTGAGCGGCTCACTGTAGGAGCAGCAGGTTTTGTGCCGCTGCTGGAAGGTGGGAGAGGCCACAGCTTTTTTATACTGCGCTTTGCACTTGTGGTCAGTGAGTGTGCACAGGATTTACTCCCTGGGGGACAGCACCGCTGCCACTGCTCACCAGCTAGAGCTCACAGACTGAATTTGGCCTTACCTCTTGAGGACCAAATAGGATTTTTTTTTTGCTTATAAAAACAAGTATAAAGTCTATCCTAAAGATGTGTCTGAAGAGAGCAACAGCAGGTGTGATTCCCAGTTTTGGTGTGACACCGAGTAAGTGACTGCAAAGGGCTTCACCGTGGCCCATCAGCAGCGCTGTCTGAAGCATCAGGCACAGCTTGTTAGGGGAGGAAATGGAGAGTTCTGACCTCCCTGATGTTCAGTGATGGTGAAGAACCGAGCCTTCTCAGCACATCTGCTCCCTGCTCCAAAGGACTATTCAGTAACTCTAAATGAAGGATAGGTGTGTTTTAGGTAAGGCTGCTAACAAATGTCCTGTAGGGAGTGTTCGGGGCAGCTTAACAGTGTACCTACGAGTTCTACTATAAAGATATTAAACAGTGCCAAGAGAAGTGACAGTTTGGGGGTTAGGGGTTGTGGGGTTTTGGTTGGTTGGATTTGGGTTGTGGATTTTTGGTGTTGGTGGTAGCTTCTGTGACTTCCCTTCGTGTGACCACAGTTTCTGGGTGTAATCCCTTAATGCCGTTATACTTCCTAATCTAACGGATAAATGGGTTACTGAAAAATGCCTTTCATCTTCTCGCAGATTGGCCACGTTTCCCACCCTGTGGCTGCTGCTGAGACTCAGCTTCGCTGGTGCTGGTGGATTTCCCCTCTGAAGTCGGGATCAAAGAAGAGTAAGCATTTTCAACACTTTTATCAAACATTGGTGTTTCACATGGTTGCAGGTTGTAACAAAGTCTGCCTCCCAGGCTTGCTTCTCGCTTGTGAACGTTCTTCCCTCTTTGCGGTTTAACTTAGGAAAATGCACGTTTGCCTACAGACCACACCTGATTTGCACAAGCAAACTGCCAGCAGCGCTCTGGCACTGCCAGTACCGGCCACCACGGTCTCATGCTAAAGAAACTGTACTTCTGGTATAACCGCGATGCCTGATACAACCGTAACTTGCATTTCTACTCGCTCGCGTGTACGTGTGCTCCACCGGCAGCTGTCGAAGCTCTCTCTGTCGTACCGCGGTCCATAGCCCTGTCCCTCTGTGCTGCAGCAGGCGTGTGCCTGGGCATGTGTGCCCACTGCGTGTGCTGCTGTGTGGGGATGGAAGTACATGGAAAGCCTTTTGGTTTAACTCGTGTTGCTTTAGATGCATAGCGGTAAAAGCAAACAAGAGCGCCTCTTTCAGAAGAGAAGGCTTCATAGGCAGAAACTTTCTCTGAGATGAGCCAGCGCATCCCAGCGCAGGCCTGGCCCTCGCTGGCTGCCTCTGCTGGGCGCCGTCCCCCTGCTGCAGGATTTCACAGATGCTGCTCTTCCTTTTTCCCTACTATTTTACTCCTCAGTTGTTTACTGACTGTAATTATATGTCTGTAATTTGCTGTTCCGGCCAGCACCGTGGGTAGCAGGGCCACTGAGATGTCAGTTTGGCGGTTGAGCATTGATGCACCAAAATGACATTAAATTTTGATGAATAACCAACACTCCATTTAACTCTTAAGTTAAATCTTAGCTGCAAAATACTGGAGTCAACTGATTTATGAGGGTGTTTAACTAAAGCATGTGAGCTCTTGAACTAAAAAGAGGAAATGGCATTGGTGGAACCTGACAGTCATCCTACCAAAACCCAGAAGGAACTAGAGTTCCAAACACTGGATAAAGCAGGGCTTATTTTCTTATCCACACCCTGACGTTCAGCGCAGAAAGACCTCTCCTAAGCTGTTTTTAACTGTAGAATCGCAGAACGGTTTGGGTCGGAAGGGACCGTTTAAGCTCACCAAGTCCAACCCCGCAGTGAGCAGACACCTTCAGCTGGGTCGGGGTGCTCAGCACCCGTCCAACGCAGCCTTGAGCGTTTCCAGGGACGGGGCCTGCACCACGCGTGCCAGGGTTGCTCTGATGCCTGAAGTGTCACAGAACAGAACTGCTGCTGCTCAGGGTGGACCACACAGAAAATGCCTGTGGGAGACGCCAAGTTCTTTGTCACCACACGTAGTCTACCTGATGCAGTTGAATTTAACAGGGTAAATGCCTGCTTTAACTGCCTTAAGTTAGTTTAGTTGGGTTTTTTTTTCCTCCTCCTTCAAAAGATTTTTTCCTGTCAAAAAGGTCTTGTGTCAAAAGTGTACCACACTCGTTCCAACCCCCAGCGTTGAAGTTAAAGCACAAATCACATTTGAAATGGTTGGGAGAAATACCTCAGGGCCCTAAGAAAACACAGAGAAGAGGTAAATTGGGAGAGAGGCTCCCTGGATAGACACGAGGTGTGAGTCTTAATTACAGCTGGGAGAGTCTGCCTCATCACAGCACGACTGGCAGGGTTTCAGGATCCAGATAAAGTGGAAGGGCTGGGGAAATTTCATTCACGCGAGTCTGGATTCCTTTTTAGGACCGACCTTGGGCCTGAGGCCTGAAATGAAAGACAGTTTTGAGCTGATGTTTCCTCGTGTTCAGAAGAAAACATCACTTCTGTCTGCATCCTTCCTCTCTTGGTATCTGCCTGTCCTTTCACACCAGTTGATGCTACTTTAAAAAATACTTCTTCCTGTGAGCTCTGTTTTCTACATTTGCAAATATGTTGTCATGTGTTGTTAGCAGCTTCCCTCCCACTTAGGCAAGGACGCACACCCAGCTGAGAACAGAGCCCCTAGCATGCACCAGAATACATCAGACCCTGTCCCAGGACTGCTGTATGTACAGCTTTCCCTAGATGTGTCCCCTTTTCTACAGGTGTCTGCCCAGAGGGGTTTGAAGACCTGATCTATCCATGCAGGGTTTCTGGACGTTGGGTCTCAGGCTGCTGGGGTACTGAATACCGCACGTTTTCTGGGGTGCTCGCTGTGCAGGGTGGTGTCAGAGCCGTGCCCAGGCTGGGCAGTGACAACGCAGCGATGCAGTGGCCCAAGCACTGGACAGCCCTGCTGCGGGCACGTCCGCTCCTGCTGCGAGCGCAGGGCAGTGGTACGGGCACTGCAACCCCAGAGGGACATCGGGCTGTCCTCCATGCCTGCTCATGGGAATGCCCTGTCCCACAGGACCTATTTGGCTAAAGTCCCTGGTCGGTCTGCTTTCTGCAGGCAAAGAATGATAGCCAGTCCCAAACTTCACAAGGCCTGAGGAGAAAGGAAATGTTTGCATGTCGTGTCTCAAAACACTTGACTCCCCTTTGCCAGGGCCTTCCTCCTTAGAAGGGAGTTTGGGAGCTGCTGTGGTGTGGGATAGGGAGTAACAGAGCTGGAGTGAACAGAAATCCCTCTCACCATGCAGTAATGCTGCTTTAGCTGTTGAACTTGCTTTTAGGCTGCCTTTTATGAAATTTAAGCTATGTGAGTGTCAGTAGAACATGAGAGAGACACATTTATAAAGCACGGCTCGTGGAGTGTGATGTGAGGGTGCTCTGGGCATTCGCAGCTGTGCCTTATTCAGGGCCCTGTGAGGTGCAAGGAGTGGGGATGCAGGATCAGAGCAGGCACGGTTCTCTTTGCATGGGCAGAGCAGTTGGACTGCCCCATTGTCTCTGTGTCACCCTTTTCCTGCTCACCCAATGTGGAGATGCAGGCCAAGAACAGATGTGATGCTCCCTTATTCTCTTAGTGACTCCCTCCCATGGACCTTAGATACCACACAGACGATCATCTTCACGTGCCAATGAGTGGCAAGACTGGTGGCTGGGTCCCGCTGCCTCCCAATGTTTTCTTACCTCCACAGAAGTGTTTGTGGAGCCTCCTGCTGCTGTGTGTCTGCTGTATTGCTTGAACTGCTGCAGCCCGTCCTGCACAGCTTGCACCACGCCGTGTCCCCCCTGCGGGAAGCAGCCTTCTCTCGGTAGGGAACGGAGCTCCGAAATGCAGGCTTGAATTCGTGCGAAGTTTTCTCTCACTTGCTGCAAAAGAGAATTCAATGGCACTGAGTAAAGACAGGAAAGTGTGATATCCCCAGGCCATAGTCACCCCTCAGTACCCCTACCCCAATTCTTGTTGGGCTGTGGACCCCCAGAACCTGCACTCAGGAGGGTTCAAAACCCTGTGATTCTGTGAAAAAGAGGTTCCACAGACTGATGGTAACAGGTCCAGAAGCAGATCCCAAGGGGAGCAACAACGGCTGTGGAACCAGGGGAGTGGGAACTGCAGAAAGTGATGGGCTGGGACACTGCCCCGAAATAGCCTTTCTCTTGAGGCTGGGCTGGTGACTGCTGCTCTTGGTCAGAAGAGCATTTCTTATGCTCTTAGGCTGCTGTTTTAGGACATTCACCTCAGTAATGCTTTGTGCCAGTCTCACAGACTGGAGGATACTGGGCCACATTCTCACTGCCTGCTATGGTGATCCAGGCTACCTGCAGCCAAGAGGTGAACCCCTGTATCACGTGTGTTGCTCAGCGCTTCCTTGGACTTGGTACCGCTTTACAGTGGTCACCCAGATCCACAGCGGGCAGACCGAACACGGCCAGGGCTGGCCAGGATCACGGCTCACCCCTCTCATACTGCTCCTCCAGGCAATATTGCCCAGCTGTCACCTGTCCTTGGCATAGACGTGACCATGCCAGGAGCACGCAGGATCCAAAGACGTGTGGAGCGTCTGCGCTAGCGTTCCCACAGATCCCAGCTCCCCGAGCTTCCACAGGAGCTCAAAGGAGTCAAGGTGTACCCAGCAGGTAAACTGGTGAAGTCTGGTCATGGCAGAGATTGATGGTGAACTCTACCAAATGTGTGAGGTGATGCAAAACCCCGCTGCCTGAAGTCACCTTCCTCGCAGAGGAGGCGGCCAATGAACCTGGGCAGAGCGGAGGTGGGTGCTGTGCTCGCTGCCCTGTCTGGCCGCTTCAATGCGTTGTATCCTCAGCCACGTCACCTTCTTGATTTGCCAGTCCCCGTAGTTAATGTGTTTCTCCCTGGTTTCTTCTTCAGCCCTTTCCGTCAGGGAGACTCTGGGAGCTGTGGGGGATGGCTGTGCAGCCCAAGGGAACACCAGGGCTCTGCTCAGTCCTTACGCAGTCCCCCATTAACATTTTTGACACTTTAATCCTCGCTTTCCCTCTTGTCAGCATCTGTTGTCCTCCACCAAATAACCAAAGAAAGGTTATTCACTTTCTTCCTGGTTTCCTTCTCTTTGGCACCCCCTGCCCTTTCCAGGGAAGCTCTTTGGACTTGGGAGTTAGGCCAGCAGGGACAGAAACCATAAACAAGTGCCCAGCAAAGACCGAGAACAGGGTGACCGTATGTGACACTTCCCGTGTACTCTCCAGTCTCTGTTTTCAGCTCTGGGGCTTTCCTGGCTTTGTACGATTTGTCTAATAAGCAACCTTTAATACAGCTCTATCTTGGTTCCTCACTCAGTGGTGGACTTGGGAGTGTTAGGTTTACGGTGGGACTCGATGATCTTAAGGGTCTTTTCCAACTAAATGATTCTATGAATCTGTAATTTCAGGATATTTATCAAATCTGGCAAAAAAATATTTTGGATTTTGATCTTTTCCCCTCAAACGCCTGGAACCCCTCCCAAAGCGGTAATATTTGTGTAATGTGCAGACCACTTCACCATCCAAGTTATTACAGGTGTAGAGGTGTGTTTGGTAATTTTGACAGAGGAGCAGCACAGACAGTGCAGAAAGGGAGGGGTGCAACAGACGTTTTAGAAGGGAGCAGCACAAAACCCGATTTATGCACATGTGCAACTGCATACATCAGAAATACAACATTCCTCCTTTTAAACATCGTTCTTCCATAAAATTCACCTCTTCCATGAAGCCTATGAAGGCGTGCTCTTTGAGAGCGATTCGTTTTTAGATACACACTCGTAGTAAATCATCGCTCTCTTTACTGCACTGCAACCACATCTTGCATTTGCGCCCCTCAGCTGCCGGGACACGGCCTTTCCCACCTACCGTGAAGGGCAGCAGGCACTCCTGCTGGCCCTGCACCGCGTAGAGGCTCAGCAGCGGGACGCGGCAGGGCCCTATCAGGCTGCAGGCCAGGCAGAGCGCGTTGTCCAGAGCTTCGGCCACAGCAGAGCAGGTGTTGGTCCAGCTGGGAGAGGTGACGTCCACCACCAGGACCCGCGACGGCTGCTGGCAGTGTGCTTTAGGAGCAGGAAATGTTCTCCGTGATTCCGAGAGCAGTCTTCTGGAATTCATGGCTTCCGAACAGGGGTGTCAGATGTCCAGTTATCCGCCTGCGTCGCGACAGGAGAAATGAGCAAATAGCAGCAATGAGTGAGTCTCCCCTTCACTTGAAAGCAACTTGATGCATAGCAGAACAGTAATGAATTAAGAGTCCCACAGCTTTCTCCAAAGCAATCATTGTCCATACTCTGATAAATCTACACAAAGACAAGTGAAAGTGTGTATGGTCAGGAAACAGAACGGTTCAATGAAGGAAAACGCACGGCAGGCGTAAGCTCGTAGATGCAAAGGGAGCAGTTAAA